GAACGCCGAGGAGTTTAGTGGGTGGAAATCCCACACGCCCCCGCCGTGTTTCCCCCGCGGCGGGAAGTCTTTGAAAGATTCTCCTCGTTAAAAAAAAAAAAAAAAAAAAAAGAACATTTATAATAATCTCAATAAATTATTGTGTAAATTTACTGAGCAATAACTGTAGTGTTTGAATAATTTAAATATTATCTTATATCCTATTCATATTATTTCAATAAGATATCCTCATTTCATATTCTCTATCGGCCTCGATATTTTCCATTTTCCTTTATTTTTATTATGTAATATTTTATTTCACATTTCTTTTTTGTATCATTCCTCGTATAATTTATATCCTCTTATATTAAAAGGCCGGCCGTATTTTTTCAAAGATTGGTTAAAAATACATCTTTAGAATTTTACGCGCGTTCCTATAAATGTAGTCAGAATAAAAGCGTTTCATGTAAGATATATTTTCCAATAATGTACAAACATACGTAGATCATAAGAATTGGTTAAATAAACGTAACAGAATCGGAGTGTCGCCAATTCCTCTATTATTGTTTCTAATTAATGAAAACACTCAAAAATAGCAATAGCTCGATTTTCACTTTTAATTTTTCTACTAGTTTTTGATCAAAACTTCGTCTGCGTTATCTTTTTTGGACTCGGAAATATACACATTCAGTGTTAAAATCATAGTCATTGTGACTAGCCACAAGCACTGTCTATAGTCTGTCGCAGGACTTAATACACAATACAAATATTATGACGAGATCCCGCAGGAAGCATACCATATTCCAGGATAAATTTTATATAGCCTATCTTATGTATGTAAAGTTTTATTAAAATCGGTTAAGTCATTTTTGCACGAGCCCACCAAAAATCGTACATCACAAACTTTCGCATTTTATATTTTACTACGGTAATTATTATAATTTTCTTATGAAAATAAACCGTTTTTCATAATCATGAAATGAAATAACAGTATTTTAAAACAATACTGTTTAGGTTAGGTTTAGAGATGATTTATTTCCCATTAAGAACAAAGTTCACTTACATAGGAAATTTAAACTAGTAACATAAAAAATGTGGAACGCTTCACGATTTTGCGTGTCATCCTTGCGCAGGGGCCATGCTAATCTTCTCTGTATCGTTCCAATTTTAGTATATGTACTGCCGAAGCGAGTATACTGTTTCGTAGCTATATTCATATTATAAATTGATTATAAGGTTTCAGAATAAAAGATATAAGTGGACTTCACACATTTATTGTATTTTTGTCTAATAAAAATACTTTATAATAAAACTATCATATTATAAGGATATATACAGCAATTGACAGTCTTGCTGGTTGTACACACCCACCCAAACACAATATTCTCCATAATGCTTTATAGTGCATATTTTTCCAACAACCGAAACATAGTAACCTAAATTTACAGCCCTATAGCCATTAAAATTAGTTTTATTAAAGAAAATTTTTAATGAATTTGCCACAAAAATAAAACATATATATATTTATAAAACACCATTCAATGGATACTCACGTATTGCACTGTTGAAGCAGATATTACTATAAATAATCCAGTTAAACATATAATGGTTGTCGATGTTCGACCCACATGAAATGGGTGTAGCAAGCGTATTAAGTACTAAAACGTTTAGGCACAACAATTTATTATTATTATTATTCTGTGACAGCTCCTCACAACTAATCTATAGCACATAATCAATTTAGAGTCTACAAATTCATTGTTGACATTAAAATAGCTTACACGTTAAACATCTATACAATTATATAGATAAACTACGGAATCATTCAAATGAAATGTTTTTCAAAAACTTAAAGAGAAAATAAAATCAATCAATCAATGAAAACATATAGAACTGTTAATACATTATGTGCTTTGCAATGCTGCGTTCTGATATTCCAAAATGGTCTACTTAAACTAATATATTATGGTATATACATAATAACTTAAATTGGCTAAATTATTATAAGGTCAAACTCATATGTAACATTCACCTTTAATATGACAACAAGGTGTTGTAATGTACTTAATAACTGTATCGATGGTTGTATTGGGAATCATTTATATAAAAAAATCTTTAACTATTACAAATTGCAGCTTGTATGAATAATACTTTGTATTAAATATTGCCTTTAATAGAATGAAGAGAAACACAAGTCAGCATACTAAGATATTGTATAAACAAAGAAATCATACAATTTCTTAGACATGAATAGAGTAAGAAATAGTTTGGTAAGTGTAACTCATGTTGGACATACAATTTCACCTTAGCTCCTGTGTTATATGTAAAACACCATCACTATATAACAAAACTAAGGATCATTTTAGCATTTCAAAAAATATATAAATTATTATTATTATTTTTTTTATATAAATCTATTTTGTCATTTCATCAATACTACTTACCGTACTAATAATGTGGAACATTCTACGTTACTACACACAGCATACATAGTATGTACAACACTTACTATATACAAAAATATAATGGTGGCAAATGTAGCATTTGGCTGACAGCCATCGACGAACACGCGTAAGCATTTCACATTGTATATATCAAATATAAAACATCAAAATATATAGCATTCGCAATTTATAACCACAGTGACGGTTGTATGAAGAGCGCCCTCTAACGAAAATAGCTGGTAACTATACAATCTTATTGTCAAAGACTACATTTTGCACCAGTAAAGTAGTTCAAAGCGCATCCTAGCGATACGATTTTAAATCGTTGTTAAAAAATAATAATTAATTTACATATAGTTGGAAAACGATTAGATTACAAGATAGCCGTGGTTCATCTATCGAATAATATTTCTAACACACCGCTATTTCATTACAACAGTTACGCATACATAAAAAATAAAATGCCATATTATGAACAATTTCGTGTCATACATACATATCATTAAATTAAAGGTGAATGATTTACAAGCAGACAATCTTCCTTATTTTTTTTTTAATTTTCATTAAATAAAACTTAAATCTCTTATAAAGCTATTGTACTTATTTTGCGCGATCGGGATGTTATGTATTCATTTTGATATGTTCTCATACTAGTGACATGATGCAAAAATTGTGTGAAGCCCGTGAAATACAAACACATAGATAGTTTAGTTTAAAATAGCATTACGCCGCAACTACTGTCATTCATCTATACACCATGTCACAAAAATATTCACTTTAACCTTGTATATTAATATAACCATAAATATATTTATTTGTACATTACACAAGAGATTTTTTTTTTTATATAGTATTTACAAATAAAAAACAACATTCCGCCTCTTAAATCTATTCACAAACTAACTAGGGCTGTAAAATGTATAGCTGTCATGGAACCACATATCAGTAATAAAAATAAAAAAGTGCAACCCTAAATATTTACATATAAAGAGATTGCAGATTAAAATAAAATTTGTGTCATCTAAATGATTTTAATGTAAGTTGTTTTCTAGCAATGTTACCTGTAAATTAATATTTAAAACCTTTTATTTATATTCCACCATACTTATAGCAATCTTATTTGATTCCATGACAAGTACACCATTAACTAAACTCTTACATAACACAATTTAAAAATAAAACATTTCTGTTATATTGTCATCAATTTTGAAGAGCATCTAAATTACTTAAATTAAAAAATCTAGAACCTACGCTTTTAGTTCGAACACTTTCTGAAATAATTTCAATATACTACAAGACTAAGTCTTCAGGTTTAATGCTTCATTTGAACTTTTTATTAATTACTTTTTATATGTATTCCTCATTGGCCACAAACTCTTTATGATTCATAGTACACACACGTATATATTGTTTGGTATATAAATACTGCCCTGAATGTACATTTACTATGATCAGCCTTTATTAGAAATATTTATTCCATAAAGACGGCATTCGTAAAGCTACTTTCGTAATTTCGTGTTGTATATGACCAAAATTAAGTAATTAACATGTTACTTAATCCCTTTTATTGCAGTTTTCTGTTTTAACACAAAATATTGACAGATATTTTAAGTTAGAATGTAATTTTTTAAATATATAAATTTATAATATATTTGAGAATATAATAATACAATAAATAAATAATAAATGTTAAAATTGCTGTGCTATAAGTATATATTGCGTTATAGTTGATGTTTTGCTACAACAATTGTAGATAATATATTAGTAATGAATAGTTAATGTACTACAATATTGTACCGGTTCTGTTGTGAAAATCTGTTTGAAAGTTATTATCACATGTGAAACAATATGCTTTACATTTGGACACATAGTCTTAGAAGATAATATTTGTTACAACATCGTATACTTTAAAGCTGAAATAAATACAAGTAGATTTTAAATAATAATAATATATATAAATTGTTACCTTAGCTCAAACCAACTACATTTCCAAAATTATTACTATGAAAGTTTACCGCCAGGCGGTTCTGTGATTTTGTATAAAGACATCAATCCTTTCTATATAAAACAAAATTAATATGGATACTAAGTTCACATTCTTATTTTGGACAGTACTTAGAATACAATGAAATATTTGACTAAATGATGTAATTATAGTATATTATATTGTTGATAAATGTGTTTTTTAAGAGAATAAACAAAAACCTTACTAAACCATGTTGATTTTTTAACATTCTATATGAATTATGAACAGAATTATGTTTAGTATGTACTGATAGTAAATATTTACAATTGTAATGTGAATACTAATATTGTGAATAGTTATGTTAATTCATCAATTCAACATAAATGTTTATGGTAATCAGTATGACTTAATTCAAAAATCTAATTGTTTAATCCCTGAGCTACATCACACACTGACATTGTTTGTTTGTCGTGAGAAACAGTTATTGTAAACTCAAATAATCGTATCCTCATCATATTTGATTGTGGTTATGATTTCATCATTTAGTCAAATCTTAACCAAAGTATTATCAACTTTGATTATCAAGCCAAGTATGTTTCACCTGTATAATGTTATAGTTTTCTTGGTCGTGTTAGTCGCCTCTTCTTTCTATCGGGAGTGGTGGCATCAGCGGAGGCTCTGCGTCGTGACGGCGGCGTGCTTGTATCCTCGTTGCTATCCTTGCTATTGCTGTCTTTTACGTTGCTATCCTTGTTATTGCTATCCTTGCCGTCTTTGTCTTTGACCTCGACTGGCGTTTCGACAATTTTACTCCCACTGGCGGTTTCAACTTCATTTGTCTCCGTACTTGAACTGGCTGCCCACTGTGAATTTAATAAGTCAAAGGTAATCATATAGAAACATTTGTGAATAATTTGTAATTGGTAATAAAATGCAGAATGAGGCACTATACCATAGTTTAATTATATTAATTTAATGAATATTTAGACGTTGTGAAAGCATTTACACTTATATTGTTTTACTTAAAAACACTTTAAACCAAGTTTCCCAGCCAATGGAATCAATATAAAAAATTATAACAATGGTTAATGGACCCACATTTACACCAAATCTCAATTACCCAATAAACATTATAATTAAAAATAAGACGTTAATGTAAGGGTTATCTCACAAAGATATTCAGGACACCGCCTTAATATTACTCAACAAACACATATACATAATGTTAAATTAAATAAATCTATGTTTAAGAGCCGAATTATTGAAGTTTTAACATTAGCTGTAATTTTACCATCAAATTGGTGATTAGATTAACCTATTACTTAATGTGTATATAGTTAAGAATATCGTCATCAGCCTATCAGAGCCTACTGCTGAGCAAAGGCCTCTTCTCACATGGAGAAGGTTTGAGCATTAATTACCACGCTCGCTCAAGAAGGGTTGGCGATTTCAAACTTATAATTGTGAGATTATAAGTCTAGGTCTCCTCATGATGTTTTCCTTCACCGTCTGTCAGTGGTGTCTAAGGCTAGGCGCGCACTACGAGTTTTTGCCGCGCGGCAGAAAAACCAGCGACATTGTACCGTGCGGCAAGACAAATAAAAATCTACAAACGCGCGCACTACGGTTTTCTGCCGCGTCAAAATTACAAGTTTTAAAATGGATTTAGTAGAAACAACTTGTATTTGCGCTCTGATAATAATTAATTCGAGCTCGAAGAAAGAAAAAACGATTTTGGATTCATCCTCTTATTCGAAATCGTTTAAACGACGGACAGTTTTCTAAAATATTTGCCGAACTTAATGATTACCCCGACAAGTTCTTCAAATATTATTGAATCCATAACTTCACTAATAAGCATTTCAATATTGAACTCTTCATCAAGATCATTACAATTAATTGACGTAGCCATCGTTGCTTTCGAAATGCAAAACAAAATAAGTATACCAAACAGCGGCGAAACGTCGTGTAGTGTGAGCATTCAAAGCTATTCAAATATGTTACAAAAAACGATGAACCACCGCGCCGCAAGCAAGTTGTAACTTGTCACAGACATTTCGCCGCTGCGGTGGCTCTGCCGTCAAGTGCGCGCAATACAATTTAAAACTGTTTGGTACAGTATTACAGTGCGACATTATGCCGCTGCTCTTTTATGCCGCGCGGCGAAAAACTCGTTGTGCGCGACTAGCCTAAATATTCTTAGAAAATACATATTGACTCGGAAAAATCACATCGTTACTTGCCAGGATCGAACCCGCGCCCTACACGAGAGGCGGGCCTTTAACCACTAGGCCACCACTGACTTTTGAGTTAAGAATATGTAAATTATTAATTTTATTGACCTGTAGTGTAGGTGCTGGTGATAGTCTCAACGAAGCCCCACACTCCGCACATAGAGGAGGCACGGCCGGTGAACGGGAACGCCAGTACTGTAGCTCTGTTTTACATTTGTTCAGCTCCTGTAATAAAACAATACGATTTTAATAAGTAGTATACATAGAATATGTTAGACATTTGTTTTGTATATTGATTATAATAATCAATGGTTATTGCTATATTATAATTTACATGTTACTGTTTACATGTAATAGATGTTGGTACAGAAAATATGATGACATGAAGTATGTATTAATGAAATACGAAGCATGAACACTTCAATTTCTTAACTATTCTGATTTATTCAATCATATTTTATATTTAAATATTTGTCAAAGAATTATCAATACTTAATCAAGAATCATACTGAAACAAGACATATTTGTAAAGAAATATAACATACAACAGTTACATCTCCAGGAGTTAAAAATCATTTCAAACATTTAATTGATTAAATGGCCCTCATGTGACTAAAAACAGTTTTACTGTTGCATTAGTTATAACTAATGATAGTGAATTATACGTTATACACTATGTAATGTACTAATATTGTTAAAAATTTTAATTTACATGGAATTTTATTAACAATATTTTATAATTCCTGAACTTCCAATAAGACAAAAATTTCATAAATACATTTCTTACAAGATATGTTAATTGTAAACTACATACAATCATAATATATTAAATGACAACAATTTCACTTCCAGAACCATAATTCCAAGGAGGTAAGTATTGAAGTATAACTATTTTGGTATTTATGTATATTACCTGTAATAAAGTTTGAAATTTTCTACTGGTCTCTTCATTCTTCTTATCATAGTCGTCCAAACGGTTCGCGTATTCCAGAGTTTGTTTCTGTTGTTCAGCGATCTGTTTCTGTTGTTCCGCGATTTGTTTCTGTTGTAACGCAGTTTTACGTTTACAACTCCTCAGATCGCTCCGTAAAGCCGACAGTTGATCGTTGTACCTGAAAAATGGATTGTTATAGAAGTTTTAGAATTGTTTTGTTATAGATAGATTTCTGAAAGGTACAACGTGTATAGCATGCATATTTAGTGAATGTTTTGCAGTTTCGTCGGGGACCCGTATGGTACGCGTCAATCAAAACCCGCATACGATGGATAAACCAGAATCAATAATTTCGAATTTTAAAGAAGTTATTTACACATATTAGGTATTATAATGTAATTTTATTCTTTACATAGCCTAGACTTTTACAGTGGCTTAGTTAGTGATGTCTTCAGTACTGTTTAAATAGATAATTAATGTATATTGTATAATATATGTTCTTAATACATTTTGAAAATTAATGTTTACCAAGCCATAGCGACATATATATACCGTCTGTCGTGTGTCTTCATAATACATATATGCAAAAGTTATGATGTGCTCCCGTGACAAACTGCACGGAAAGTGGTCAATTAAAACCCACATATTATTCTCAGGTAATAACAATAATCATCATCATCATCATGATGATGATGATGATTATTATTCTCAGGTCTAAACACAATATAGTAGAAAGTTTCTTCAAAATCAATTCAGTATATTTTACTTAAAAACCACGACTTTCTGCTGTGCTACTTAATAATATAATGAAAAAATATATAATATGTGTGCGTGTGTGTTTGTATGTGTATATATGACTAACTTCTTCATTCCCTGTTTGATCCTATGTATTCTTTTCCTCAACACCATATTGCTCTGCGGCGGCGGCGGTGATGGTGGTAGGCTTTCCTCCATGTAGAGGTTCAGCGAGGACACGTGACGCTCTGATGTGTTACTCGCCTGTTGAGACTCAAAGCCACTGGGCGGAGGCGAATCCAAACACATGTAGGATTTACTCGACTCTCCCGCTGAAATTATATGAGACATACTGTTCAATTGTGGCTTAATCAACCTGTAGTGTAGACAATTCTTTTGAATCGTCTTATATATCCTGTTTATTATATAGCTTTATATGGCATCAAGCTTATACATTATGTATTGATTAGTTGATGTTCTTAAATAGTAAGTCACGCTCGACATAGATGAACGTTTTTTGTACATTGAAGCACAATTAGAATCAAATAGTACTCTTAACATTACGTAATCCGGAACTTATTCTGTATGGTTATTTAAGGAAAATTATAGTTTATTTTCATATTTCTCTTCAAATTACATATTTGAATTTATTAGTACAAATAGTTTTAAAAAATGATAAAATGTCAACAATATAAGACTCTGATGTCTAGTTTAATTATAAATGTGATAATGTTATATTTTGTTTCATCATCAGCCTATCAGAGCCCACTGCTGAGCAAAGGCCTCTTTCTCACATGAAGAAGGTGCGAGCATTAATCACCACGCTTGCTCAAGACGGGTTGGCGATTTCAAACTTAAAATTTGAAATTATAAGCCCAGGTTTCCTCACGACGTTGTCATTCACCGTGTGTCAGTGGTGTCTAAATACCCATAGAAAGTACATACGACTCGAAAAATCACATGGCAGGTTTCGAACCCGCACCCTTGTGCATGAGATCCGAGCGTTTAACCTTAAGGCCACCTCCACTTAAATTTTGTTTAAGCTGCAATTATTTAATTAATAAGTTATTAAAGAAAGTCACAGCAGTCGTTTGAAATGACATTACCATATGCTACAAAGATATTTATTAATTAATAAATAAATTCAATTCAAATCAATAAAAAAATATTCTCTTGCATACTTATATGTCATCTCTTTTAATGCCTTAAGTAACTTAAAATCATTATATAAATTGAATTACACTATCTAATAGATCACGTCGTATAAGAACTACTTCTGAGTAGCCTTTACGAATAGATATGTATATATATAATTTTTCTTACATCCAGTTATAAATATATCAAACATGCTCCTAACATTATCAGTATGATCATCTCGAATCTACATTTTTTTCAAGCGGCACTTAGTCTACTTTTATGAAAGATCTTTATATGAGGAGACTCGTTTGAGATGCATCTTGAGTAATAACCGGGTACGTAACTTATACTTATGGTATGAATTTTCATATGTTAATATTAAATTAAGATAAAAAACTTATAGTAAAAATCTCAATATAAAAGTATCTATTTGTCTGAACATATAAGAAATGTCTATTAAATGAAATGTAATACAATTTGAAATAGATTGTATAGTTGTACAAATTACGCTATTCGGAAGCATTGAGCCCTAAATTATTAATGGGTAGTTAGGAGCTATTACTTGACTCAAGTATCAGAATATACTGGTTTTGGTCTGATAAAAATAAATTTTATATATTATGTAGCAAGTAGAATTACGAGTTCAAAAGAAATTTCTTTTTTAGTTACTATAATAATACTTTTTTTAGTGGCCAGGACATAAAGTAGAAAATACTTTTTTAAAACACCATAGAGTATTTAATATGTATAATTTTATCTATAATTTATGTATATCTCATTTCCTTACATTGGTTAACCGTATTCACGGTTGGTTGCTAGCAATATATTTTGTTGATAATTACAATCGGTCAATTTGTGGCTTTCAAATAACTTATCGTAGCCAGATTTAGCTGTACGTAAATATTATTCAGTTATAACGTTGTTTGCTGGTGGTTTTGTGTTTCCAATCAACGAACATTACGAAATAAATTTATATTTTTCGCTTATTTTTTTCTGACAGTAATATTAATTTTATATAAATATTATTTCCTATATTCGTTGATAAGTATGTCAAAATAATATTCCGAAAAACACGATTATTTTATAGCTTTACATTTAATATCTAAAAAGATATAAAAAAATTGTTTAGTCATTGAAAAAGATATGTCTATTTTGTTATATATGTAATTGTAACATGTTTATGATGTAAGCAAAACAAATTATCTTTATGTAAACTTTTATAGTATCAATAGTAACGATAGTGCTACAGTCCTATCAAGTGTAGTTGTGAACGGCCAATGAGAGCACAATTACGCAGCATACATTAGTGGAACGTATTAAAGTATGAAGCTGGGCCTCTCATTTACCCGCGCAACAAAAAACTACGCCAGTCATGCTTCTATTAAGTAGCTTCCAGATAATACCTCAGATTTATACATATTCAGGTAAAAATGAGATCTCCAGGTAAAGTTTTGTATATTGGAATTCCGAGTGAAAATTTTCGGAAACGACGTTCCAAATTTAAACTTTTGAGTGTAATAGGAGCCAAATTTTGAGTAAAGAGGTTTTGATGTACACAAAACCTTTTTTTTTTCACCTCAAAAAGTCGAATGCTTTCTCTTATGTTTAGGAAAATATTTGTTATTAAAATTAGCAAGTTTTATATTGAATCTTATATTATTCTTTAACACAAAGAAGGGTAACATAGGTTTTGTACGTTTCCGTAGATACCGGCTATGACATCACTTTAACATTGTGTTATGTTGTACGCGAAGTGACTTTGAGTATTTCATTACGTAATTCCGACTTTGAAAAGACGGTAAATTGTTTTATGTGATTTAATAATTTTAACGAATTTATCATAATCTTTTAATAAACAATAAGGGGTTATCCATTAATCACGTGAGTCTTGAAAGGGGGGGGAGGGGTTTGATAAAAATCACAAAAATAACACAAGGGGGAGGGGGGGTGTAGTAAGATATCTCGTGTATTTATTTTTTCGTCTAACGCCCGATTTTTAAACAAATATTAAGCGGCATTGGTGTAGACATTTTTATTATGGTCCTTAATTTCAGAATAAAATAAGATTATAGTTTATACCTGTATTTAAATTAAGATAATATTCAGAAAATTTTAAGATTCGTTGTAGGTGCTAAAAATACACGTGATGTTGAGAAGGGGGAGGGGGGGTGGTCTTAAACCTCACTACGTATCACCAATGGGGGCGGGGGGGTTAAAAAATGCTAAAAAAAGATCACGTGATTAATGGACAACCCCTAATCTAGAATATAAAATTATAGAATAAATCTCCTTTTAAAAGTAATCTAAGCTCCTCTAGAGCCTTGAAAGTTAATAAAAAAACAAGTATATATATAAACATTTAAATAGCACAAAGCTTAATGAAGGGCTTTGTAGACTAAGTTTTATTTTATTGCTTTATCTTTCTTTGTTTGTTAAGGGTTAGCTAAGGCTTTACTGCGACCGTTTTGAAAGTGGTTCTACAAATAAAAGAACTATACGCCGTCCTTTGGGAGTTATTTGACTTTGTGGGTACAAAGATTCCAAAAATCTCAAGCTGTATATGTAGATTCTAAAAAGCACTTTATACCAAACGTGAAACCAAAAAAACTTCGTAATAGCATTCCATGAAAAATCTTAACGGACTTACAAACATGCGGTTTTTAGAACATGAAAAAAAAAAAGTTCTACGGTTCAGAAACTGGCAACCGAAAAGAAATAAATATTGTTCATTAAAAAAAAAACAACGTGTTTATGAACGTAGTTTAATAATAGACAAAGTGGGAGGTGACAATAATGTTACGGAAGTTGTTTAAAAGTTATAAACGTATTCATATTTATAGAACATACGTTAAAATGAACATTAACAAAAATGAGAGCATATTATTTTAACAAAATTATTCATAAGTTATATAGATATAAACGAAATACTATTGTAGAATCATTTTAAAATCATCCCGACTTGTGCCCATTGACCGGCTTGTGCGAACATTTTTTGCACTTTTAACGACAACGATCTCGAAACTAAATCCGGACTGAATACATTAGAATCGTGAAATCGAAACGAACTTAGAACATTCCTTGCTGATATACGATAAATATGTATGATACACGTACATTTTACGAATAAACCTATTCATATTTTCGAAACAAAGTTCACTTATACTTATGAATATATTTACATTGTGTAAACATCTTTTATTCATAATCGAATTATATGAATCGGGATTCAATCGAAATAAAAGTACTAAAACTGTTGTAGAAATATATATTTTAAAAGAACCCGTCTTGTAATCGAAACGTGATTTTATCGGAAAGTACCAACGAAATTTTATTCTTTTAAATAAAATAACAAATCGCCTTTAAAAATTACGAAAGAATTAAACAATTTTATTCTGTTTCGGCGTAATCTTTGGCTCCTTGCATTCAAAGTATTGCACACATTGGCATTACTTTGTACCAAATAACGTTTTCAAAATGGCCATGACAATATATAGCTTGGATTCATAGTATTAGTTACGACATTAATGACATAGCATTAATGTACAGTAAAAAGGTTTAATAATTACATTTATGACTCATAGAAGTAGTGCTTCTTTAAAATAATTCCATTATAAAAACCAACTAAATCACTTTCGCAATATAAGCACAATAAAATTAAAAAAGAAGAAAAATATAGCTTTATCTTTAAAGAAAATAAGTCGTATAATTGAAGAAACAAAATTGATATAACTATCTGACTAAAAGAGTATGTATATATGAATAATCAAAAAAAATTACCTATAAAATGTCACTATTATTAATCAGATGTTCAGTAACAATGACAAGCATAATTATGTTAAGTAAAAAATGATATAAAAACCTAGTATGTTAGATTAAAACTTGAATTGTATGTTCTTAGTGTCTTTGTAGTATAAAAAACTAACAATCACTTCTTATGCTATTCATGAATTATCTATACAATATAATGTAATTTAAAACTGTACTCACGTGAAAATGCTGTGGTTATATCAAAAAAGTCTGTACCAAAATATGTGATCTCTGGTAGATTTGGTTCAATGTGTTCCTTGAAGTACTCCATTGCCATGGTAGTTAGATCAAAAAGCTCGTCGGTCACTTTGTAAGGCCTCGCTAATTTAGTTGTTGTTTTTAAATAAGACAAAATACTATAAACCTCATCCAGAATCTAAAAGCAAAAACTTGATGAGGCTGGAGTTAAAAACACTAATATGTTAGTATCTAAATATTATTAATAACGTCCGGTTATTATCTAGATATAGAGATATCAAATGCTAATTACCTCTCCAGGAAAAAAACAACAGTGTTTCCTCTCAATGTGTTTACCAAAGGTCATTTGTAGCAAACTCAATCTCATGTGAAGAGTTTCAATGATGTCCGATTCACAAGCAAGAGGGTGGCTTCGTCTGGCTGATTCACGACGGGGCATCTTAGCTTTGATTGCTTGGAAACGATTAAGCATCTGGTTTTGAAGCTTTTGAAATGTTGAATTGAGCATACTACTGCATATTGTATTGAATTGTCGGTTAACCTAAAAAAAAATAATTTCTCTTCATTATACTGCAATTGTTAACCATCAGATACTTTAGGATTATATTCATAAAATGTTAGGGAATGGTGGTTTAGTGATAAGAATTTCGTGTGGTATACTACATAATGTATAACCTCCAAAACCTATAAATAATAACTACATGTCATTCGAGATCATACATTATACAAGAGTGAAATTATTCACCATTCTCAAGTGGGATACGCTTTTGAATCCTAGATAGCGGAATATTTTTTCTAAAACTTCTATGGGCATGTCCAGCATATTGGTGTTAAAGCTTTTGGGTGCTTGTATGATGCTTCTGCCGGCGTGCGGCGAAGAGCCCCCGGGGAGTAAGCCACTGGAGTGGCGTGTTACCCGCGCCACCGTCACTGCCTCCGCGTGAGACGGCCCAGCCCCATCACCACTGCCACTACCACCACCTATACTACTCATCTGCCTCGTCGACACCATCTTGCCCGATACAAATTGTACTATAATTTCTGAAAGAAACTTTCTCTTATAAAAATCGCTCTATAACGCTCATATAACCACATCCGCATAAATTCTGTATAAAATACATTAAGATGATTCGGTATAAATGTTTAAAAAGTATTTAACTTTATTCAACATCACTGTTTAATTTTAAATAAATTAAAAATAATTTAAGACACAACCGAACTATTCTAAAATGGTGGCCATTGCTGGCTAGGTCACTTAAGTTGAGTGTTCAAGTGGGTACAAATTTGATATAAAACTGCAATGTAATTAATGAATACACTCACTCAAGAGTTCATGCACATGATTTGTTTCTTTAAAATGATTTAATCTTTTAAAAAATACTTAATGAGACGCAATAAGTTTTATCAGAGCTGTGTATGCTTTCACAAGAAATATTTTTTGTTTGTTGGAGATGAAGACGTTCGCAAATCATTCAAATTTCAATCAGACATTCAATCCGATCCGAATCCATTCACTTTTTAGGGCAACTGCAATACCAACCTTATAGAACTAAATGTCAATCAATGTTTTATATTAGTAGCACAGTCTAAAAATATTGCAGAGATGTGCTTGATTTATCGAAATAAATTCAACAAAATATCTTATATATTCACCATATACGACTTATATAAAGAAACGAGTAATTCGATATGTGCGAAACAAAATTTTATGCAAAGACGACATTTTTAAGACATTGTTCTATTATGTTTTTAGATTCACAGTAATTTTCCGTGATTTTCACTCACTCTTTTATATTATATTATTAGAAACATAGTTATGTAGGTTCATATATTTATTTAAATAACTAGCATCGTTGTCATAAAGCACAACCTTTTTTCATCTATGGGCCGATGTCATGTGTCCAATGACACTGTGTCAGTACAGTAGATACTAGCGAGTGCTAGATACTATTATGTGTTCACGAAAGGCTTCATATGGCGATAAGATAAACATTATAGTTTAAAGTCTTAAAATAATAGTTTTAATGTTTGTAATATTAGTTGGAAACTTGCCTAATAATGTATCCTAGGTCAGGTAGTAGCGGTTCTCTGCAGAATATACATCAAACGCCGTCATCATCTAATCATAATTCAGGTTTGTAAACAGTGTACTTAAGATTTTGTTTTTCTACGTTTCCTTATTTACATATCGTATCTCTATGAATAAACAGAAGATGAAGATGACAGTGGAGATAATAAAGCGTCTGCTTTGAGCTTCAAGGAAAGGCGAAGAGAAGCTCATACTCAGGTAGATAACAATTGCGTAAATATATCTATGACATTTAACCTCACATATTTATTATACGATTCAAACCTAAGTAAAATTTTTTTCTATACAATATGAATAAAATAAACAGTATTTATGCCTAAATATATCCATTTCAATTATTATTTGGCAAAATAATGGGTCTGCAAATTTCTTACTTTTAAATAACATTTTAAAATAATCTAGTTTTTAAACAGTATAATATTTTGACCAAATTTATCAGGTTTTTTGTTTATTACAATTTCTAGGCTGAACAGAAAAGGAGAGATGCTATAAAAAAAGGATATGATTCCTTACAAGAACTGGTGCCAACTTGCCAGCAAACTGAGGCTTCTGGATACAAGCCTAGCAAAGCTGCCGTAAGTAGCATTCTAAATCATTAACCATAAAAAGATTTAATAATAAACAGTTAATAATTAGAACAATTTAATAATAATAGTATAAGTCAGTCTATCATCACTACTGTGATATGGTATGGTACTAATACTAACAAATAAGGTTTAGAAATAAATACATACATATATTAATTTAATATTACAAAATATTATATTCCATTTGTCTAATACAGTGGTTCCCAAAGTTATTTTGTGTACTGCCTAATTTGAATTATTTTTGAGTACCCCCTTTTTACCCCCCAGGTTACTACACAACACCCCTATTTTTTTCCATAAGATACTTAAATTTCATCATACATGCTTTTCAAAATGATATAAATTCTAATGTTATTGATTAAATTTCTAGGTACTACAAAAATCAATAGATTATATACAGTATCTACTTCAACAACGTAGACGCCAAGAAGATGAACGTAATGCATTACGAAAGGATGTCGTAGCTTTAAGGATAATGCAAGCTAACTATGAGCAGATAGTTAAAGCTCAACATTCTGTGCCCGGTCATAGTGAGCAACGACTCTCCGACCAGGATAAATTTCATGTGGTCAGTATATACAATATATTAAATACTCTATGCCATAAAAATATTTAAATACATATATGATTAGAGAGATTAATAATTGCATAAAATATTATTATGCAATTGTTAATTACCTATAATAAGTAATAAAATAGTTGAATTTTTTTTTAAGTATTGCTTATTATTTGGGTTTAAAAATATACATATTTTTAATCTGTAATATATATATTTTTTAATCTGTAATAAGATGATATTTGTGGTTGATTCATAATATTATCTTGATACAATTTTATAAGTGCTAAATTTTTATCTTAAAAAATTAAACATACCATGTACATACTTATATACATCAAAACCAATCTATGAGACAGCACATTTTTATCTAATCAATGGTATAAACTACATTTAGAAAATAGTCTTAAGTTTATGTGATTAAGATAACTTATTATTTTATTTATTAGCAAAAAATTAATATTGGGTACTTAAATAGATATATTTGTTTGCCTTTTCAGATAAAAATTAATATATCTTATGCTCTAGCACTGAAGCTCGCATATCATAATAATGAAATAAGTTAGTCATTATCCCAATGGCAGCTTAAATTGTCAACAAATTTAGTATTTTCTCAAAAAAAAACCTATTCCTATCTGTTTAGTGTAATCTGTAGATAAAATAATCCTCTAAAAACATGTATAGAGTTTTGTAATTGTTATTTCAGTATCAAATCCCTATAAACATGATGGTTAATGTATTTCTTTTGAGTCTAAATACCTCTGATTTCGTTTCTTTTTACGTTTCTTCTTACTATGACGTTTTTATATGGGAAAATATTCCAATTAATTCTGCAATATTTTTCTATCTATTTTTATTTTCTTATAATTGTTCACATACTTACACATGCAGTACAGTTTCAGGGTATAATGGATAAGCTGTTTGAATCCTTCGAGTCAGTACCCACAAACAACTTCGCTGAGTTCTCAGCTGGTGTGTTCAATTGGCTAGAAGAATATTGCAAGCCTCAATCCCTTAGAACATTAGTCCATGGAGTTTTAAGGGAACAAAGCTATACGCCTTAAGAAGCTGAAATATTAAATATCCATAGACAACATAGATCCGGGTGTAATTAATGACATTGACAAATACTTGTACAGAAATTTGTATTCAAACGTAAATTTTGTTTTTATGTTGTGTATATATTTTGTTTTATAAATGAATTGTTTTTATGAATTTGTATCTCCGCTTTAAAAAAATATTATAACATCTGTTTTGTTACTAAATCGTTTATCTTACTGGTTAGAACATGTATGTTAAACTTACATATACGTAATAGTCGCCATTTTGATTTTAACTTGTAACTACACATCTATTTGAGGTTTTATTTTGTTATAAACTCTATTTTTATTTGGGTTTATAATTTTAAACATTAGAACATCATTAAATATTTTTGCTAAAGTCATGAACGTTGTCAGAAATCACCATTTTATAATTGAGAAATATTATGTTACTATTTTTATATTTTGTTTTTAGTGTGCATAATCACGATGAAATAATGTTTGTTTTGTATCAAAGAAATTGAAATAAGTATATTATTATTACACACCAGAATATCAGGAGTGAATATTTTAAATTAGATTTGATGTGTAAAAATTCTTATCTAAACATCTATGATTTTTAAACACAATATAATCATGAAGTAGTTTTGTAAAATATTTTATATATTTATATCTGAATGTATTGAATTGTTATATTAGTAACAGATGTTCTTTATATATTTTCAATTACAGTCTTTTCTATAAAATGTTAGTACTTATTGATTGACAAGATTTTAACTGCCTTAAATTCTATGTGCCTTTACTTTGTAATAATGATTGTTATTACAAAAAATATATATAAATATATGATAATGTCAAATAAATTACAAGTATAAGAATATTATATATTTTTGTTATATGTCAAACTATTTGTTTCATAATTGGCTTGTATTTAACATATGAATTATTTTGTATATGTATAGTACATATGTTAGCATCTGTGATAGAATTTATATCTACATGTTTTTTATTGATATATATGACCAATCTTCTATACAGGAGTTAAAATTATATTCTGTAACAACAACATATCATTCTAAATAATATAACTGTTACCAAAATTTTATTTGTTTCATTGTACCTAACTTAATAACTTTTACTTAATACAATGTATGGTATACCGCTAGGTAGTTGTGTTTATATACAGGGTGACTGGTGAATTACTATCGATACTTGAGGACGTGATATTTGACGATCATATATGACAAAATAAAAATTAATATAACATAAATATTAATAAACTTCTAAGTATGTAAAGTTAACCAAAAGTTATGTAATTAATTACGCATCGTGTGAACGCCCTACAGATTAGGTATACACACACACTCACATATACGCGTGAGGCGGCGTGGTGTTGTATCAGCACGCGGCCGCACGCGTTCACACTTGGAACGTGGCCACACTTTATTTATTTATACGGAAATTTGGTCAAAAATTAACTACCTATTTTTTTTACATAATTCGAATGAGAATCATGTACCGAGTATGCTCCTTAAATATTGATAGGAATTCACCAGTCACCCTGTATATACTAGCTGTTGCCTGCTACTTCGAATGGGTTAAAAAAAAAACATAACTTCGGGATCGGAATAAAAGGCAGCCTAAGTAACTGCTCATCATATAAGTCAACTGATAATTAAAGGCCCGTCAAAATCCGTTCAGCCATTTCAGAGATTAGTCGGAACCAACAGACAGACGAAAATTGTAAAAGAGACGAAACCTCTTACCATTCAATGGATTCATCGGGCGGATGCCGGGTCATTCACGTTGCAAGGAGAGGAGCCTCAACAGTGCCTGGGACTTGCGACCCAGGTGTGGTGTCCAAGCTCCACTAACCAAATTTGATTGCTTGTTAATATTTGTTGCTTGGTAATATTCGATCTATTTATTACTAAGTGTCTCTTTTACAGAACATTTTAAACAATAAGGTCACTATTACACATGCTTATTTCAAGCACGAAAGTATTTTTTAATTGAGCATTTGCTATTTACTAGCATGTGTGTCCAAGTGTTGTTTAAAATAAGCGTGCTTATTTGGAGCATGCTTTAAAATCGACAGTTGTGCGATTTTTAAGCATGCTACTAGCGGTGCGGGTACAAGGGAGCTTGTATTAAGCACGTCTTAACAGGTCTACTTATTGAGCATGCTAGATATCTTTATTTGTATTGAGGTACTTTAGAGAGTAAACTGTCAAATTAATCTGCATATGGTTTTTGTAGCTACAAACGTCTTCTCCTCGCAACTCTGTAAGCAATTAAGCACTTGCTCCCAAGTCCTGTAATCTCTTTTCTTTTTTGCGACCTGATATAAGCTTTTGGATGCATTATATGGCCAGAAAAAGGATGAAATTGTTCATACGGATAGCTGCTTGCATATCATTACTTTGTTTGAACTGACAGAGAGCGAGAATAACACGCTATCAAAAAGCATATGTATTGAATCGTTTACTTGGAACATACTAATTCAGGAGCATACTAAACTAGCATGCTTATAGCCCGCAAACATTGTATGAGCATACTTAGCGCTTTTTAGCATGCTTATCTTGAAAAGCATGTGTAACAGTAGCCTAAATGATGTTTTATAAATGTTATTAGATAAATATATTAAAGACAATTAAACAAATTAAAATGTATTATTCTTTATTAAAAAAATACACTGGACATATTACGTACAATTTCAGTATAATTTGCCATAATATGTGAATTAAATATTTATAAATAGCAAATCTTATCCATTTCAAATCAGAATATTTAGGTAGTTACTATAGGTTAGCGTATTCAACAAGTTTTTCACAACAAGATTTATTATTAAAATACAAGACTAGGTATCTGTGTTAAATGAGAAAGTATTGAGAAGAAATGAGAATGAGATATAAATAATACATGAATATGCAATAATATTAACTACTTTCCAGTCAGCACTAATTCGTAATTTACTAAAGTATATATTTTAAAGTTAAAGAGATGAAAAGAACATAATTCAGAGAACCGGAAAGACAGTTATACCGGGCTCAGTTGGCAGTAGGTACTGATATTTATGTAAATGTTCTGAGATTCACCCTGCAAAAGGAAGAGAGGGCTATTAGAGCAGCTTTGATGTCTATCTGTTTGAGTTTGTGAAGGTCATAGAAATACTGTAGACGTATGCTAAAATGATTATGAAGAGATATGAAAAATGTTATGAAATATTGCTAAACAATGTTTAAATTAAGTTTTTAGTATATATGATATCTTTTTTTGTTAAGAAGTAATTTATTTACTTTCCACATTAGATTCAGATTTAAGACGTCTCTTCAAAAAGTATCGTGAACTTTATGTTGTTTCTTGGTGTCGATATCTATTTTATCTGCTATTTGTGTCATTTATTTAGATATGCCAGTGCCTTTTCTAATACACAAAACATTTGAAGATATAATTTTTAGTGATCTGATTTACTTCCTACTTAGATTCTGTTTTAGTTTGTTAATCATTATCGTCCTTTCGTGCCTTTTTCGGTTTAGGAAACAAGAAAGAGATCTAACTGGTCAAATCAGTTATAATTATGGCAATACCAAAATATTTGTGCAGAGCGTGTTTCAAAGTTACTATCGTGGTGTAAAATGAAATTATTATTTTTATAAACACGGACGTTTTAGTGGATTACTTCGTGCCATTTGTTGATAACTCTCATAACTTGGAGTAAAAACTCATCATTCACTAAGACCGTACAATCAAAGAAAACTGTAAAAAAAAAGACCTTAAAACTCGACATTAAGTACTAAAATGGGCTATCCGTCTCAGCTAGTGCGGTGGCTTGAATTTGCATGATTGGGCTTTGTTTTTCCACTTATAACTAAAACAAATGAATAGTTATATACTATTTGGAGGAAGTTTTAGATTTTGTAGACTGAGTTCAACAGTCCGTTTAACAATGTGAAGGAAAATCCAGTTTTTGTCGACATTGAGCAATTTGGAAGGAATTCTGCAGCGACCCGTTTCATACCCATATTATTGGTAAAATTGTAAATAAATAATGAAATGTTTATAATTATATAATATAACGTTTAATATGTATTTCATCGCCGGATAGAAAAAAATAAAACTATTAAAATGTTTTCAGTCAATATTTATTGTTACATTTTCATTCCAACGTTTTCAACTTAAAAGCTATGAATCAAAACATCGAACATTCACTACTATGAACGATTGAATGAATATTTTGTCGTATCATTCGTCATACCCGTTCACTCTCAGTTGGCTGTGAGATTAATGTGACATCTCCCATGGGATAACTCTCAGTTCTTCTAGCACATGCTAGATTCTTCGCTCTTTCTCTTGGTGTTCCACAACAGAGTCGTTTGAGGACACAAGCGTAGCACATAAGTAGGGATAGCATCAGAAGCAAACCAATCACTACAGTCACCACAAGCAGGATACGTAGTTCACCGTTAGTTTCGATGCTATTGTTTTTGTTTAGTGCCATTTTTATTGCAAAGTAGATCCTCTTCACCTGTAAAAAGGTTTCATTATTGTAGTCTATTAATATTATTCTAAAAATTTGAATGTCCATGAATGATTAGATAAATGTTTATTATTACAGATGATATATCTATGTATTTGATAGTGGTGTTTTTTTTATCGTAGGTATATAAGATTCATTTCGGATTCCGTGTAAGAACTAATAAGTGGTCAAAAGCTCTGGATAAATAAAATATATGTTTTTTTTATTCTATACCATTTTAATTAAGTTATAATTTAAAATAAACAAAAGATAACGCTGCTTTAATATAATCATTTCTAATCCATAATTTGAAGAGAAAATGTATATTTTTTGCAAATACAAAAGAGAATATGCAATAAAATTAGTAACGTAAATTAAGGTGGGCTGATTAAATAGAAATCTTACAAGACCTCAAGTATTTTTATATGACAAGTTATATAAGACAAAGACCTTTAATTGGTAAAGTAATAATTTGTTGTATTATGTTGTTCTCGGTATCTCTCTCTTGAAATCTTAAATACTAACAAGTAACATGATATTATATATCTTATTTTATTTAACATTCACCTTATAATAATGATCTTATTATTTAAACATCGACAAAGACAAAACTCGTTAACATTTACATTACTCCAGACCCTTTGAAACAAATAAATTTCAGTACATAATTACCGTTTTCATATAATATGTTATAAGAAATATAAACGTATTAATAAAGATAATATTAAATTTATGAAAGCAAAGCTTATTTAATTAGGAAAAATATAATATTATTCGATAACAATAACTCTACTTTGTTACTCTGTACTGAAATGATATTAAATTTTACTGTTACATACTTTTATGTCGAAACCGTCAAAGCTGCTGGGTTTATATGAAGTGTTTATTAGCCAATATGTTTAAGACCTGATGGCTTTATAAATTGACCATAAGTATATACTCCCCAGGGGGAAGGAGAATGTTATCAAATAATACGAATAATCATTAATGAATGAAAAAACAGAAAATATATCACTTAAGTGAAAAAATTCTATGATTAAATCGTAAATCCCCATTATTGTTCGCACTAAATAAACATTAAAAAGATTTATGTGCCATAAAGTAGGCATAAAAGATAATTCGCGAAGCTACAATCAAAAAGCTATGTATTGGGTTCATCTTATAGTGGTCATATTTGATATTTCGTATATTTAAAAATAGATTCCGTTAACCAGAAACAATACGTCAATCTATCGACAATGGCGTCACCGTTTAAACTGTTAGCTACAGTTCACTTTATCGTGTGAAACTGGGTAAAACAATCTATTTGTGCCCCAGTTTTATTTCATTTACTCCGGGAATGAGTATTTGTTTTACTACCATTCAATTTAATGGAGAAACTTGTAGCTATAGCTGACAGTTGGCTCGCTAGTTCAGGAAACTATCTCTAATATTCTATTATCTTAAAAACTTTATTATATAGTGCAACCTCAATATAACGACTGCCCTGTTTTAACAAATTCCTTGTAATCCCCTTGTATTGTTCATAAGAGTCAATATAAAATATGCCTTTACGTTGCGAACATTTTTTCCGAATAACCTCTTTATAAAGAATATTCAGAAAGAGTATGCATACCTGTCATTAATGAATTTGTCACCCCAAAACCTTCATACATATTATAAAGTTCCCAAAAATATATCATTCTTAATTTATTAGTTTCGACACGCTGTTGTTCAATAAATAATTATGTTTGTTTGATGGAAAGTAATGTAAACACTTCTGTTCGTTACTATAAAATAATCAGTTTAAATAATTATTATTTTACCTCTTTAAAACAAATTTTAGACCAACCTAACGACAACATAACAAACCTCAGTTCAACGAATTACTTGATGTAACGAATATTTTCTTATTTCCCTACGATTTTTTATATCGAGGTTGCACTGTATAAAACAATCGCATTTTGTATAGCGTTCCTGGTATTCTACAAAACTCATTTAATTGAAACTAATATTTTTCGGATATAAAAATAAAATCGTATACTACGCGATTTTATTTTTATAAAAAATTTTATTTTTATAAAAAACTGTGATATCACTAACATCTCGTCTTCCCGTGATCACGGTTGTTGCTTTTAATTTTTATATAAAAATAAAGTCGCATAGTAACTACGAGTATATCCGAAAAGCATTACTTTCATTTAAATGAATAAAACTCGCGAGTATCATACATCTCATTGTTCTACAAAACTCTTCTAATAATTTAATTATCGTTTGTTAGTATATATGAAAAAAAATTAGGTATAGTTCATTTTAATAGAATTTGACAATCTTTTAAAAAAAGCTATTGACCACGATGACTAAGTTCTTATGTACAATTGGATGCCAGTCCTGATAATAATTACATCTCAGGAACTCACCACTACTTTAAACAGACTTTTCATCATTATTATGTTTATATTATACAATTATTTTGAACAAGAAAATGAACTGAATTTGTCAAATTGACACGATCCTTTTTATTCATCAAAGTCTATTTGTCTTTGAAAGTGAGTATTGTACATGATAAATATATAATGAACTAGCTTTTAGTATTGCTAGTTCATTATATATTGGTAAGAAAAATCTCCTTTATGTAACCCCAGTCGTTCTGCATTTCTCAACTCATTAAAAAAGTTCACAAATAAATACTCAAGAAAATATGAATAAACTCAAGGAATTTTTATATAAATACTTTAATATAATATTAATTATTAATTAAGATTAAAGTTTCTCACGTCACTAGGGGCATAGACACTTGTCTATTATTTCAATAGAAATTGGCAATCTTGTAAACAAACGATTAGCTGATATTGACAAAGAAGTCTTTCAATAGAAATTGGCAATCTTGTAAACAAACGATTAGCTGATATTGACAAAGAAGTCTTTGTCAATATCAGCTAATCGTTTGTTTACAAGATTGCCAATTTCTATTGAAATAATATATTCGTACATGTATTAAACATTTACAAACTGATTTTATTACACTCGTGTAGGTTATAAAATGTTAAGAGTTTTGAATTCTCATTCGTGTATTTAAAACGCAAACATCGATTACCAATTGTATAAATCCCTGAAATAGAACAAGTGTGTTCGATTAATGACCAATTAAGAATCTGTCGTAAACTGAAAATGTTGGATTTTAATTTCAGAACGAACCTAGAAAATGATGTTGTATTTCCCCTTGACGATATTATTTACAGCGTATTGAATGTATTCCTTCTGACAAGATTAAAGTTAGTTTATTTTATAGAAATATAATAGACGAATAAAAATGAATGGTAAAGGTCCCCTTGACGGAACTATAAACTTTTCTTTGCGTAATTGGGATTTTGAAAAAAAAAAAGTATTGATTTTTTTTATGTATTTTAAAACTTTATTATTAATTATATTGATTTTTAATGCAAAAAACTTGAAAAACTTTTTTTTTAATTAATTATAAACAATTAAAAATTTATAAAATTCAATAAAAAATCACGTGACTGTAAACGCGCCATGATTGGTCGGCATACTTGTGACGTCATAATGTTAAAGCAATTTCATAATAGTACAGTGTTTATGGCTATTATTTTTGACTTGATAAAAATATCTCCAAATTTATTAGTGAAAAACGATTTGAAAAGTTTATTTCGACTAAGTATGTGTGATAAAGGATTTATAAAAGCAAAATCGGATAATATTCCTGATGTTGGTATATTTATAACTATTTTTTTAAAAAATGACGTTCGGTTTAATTCTGCTGAAGTTCGAGGTGCTAAGGCATCAAGGTAAATCTGTTAAAAAATACTATTCTAAATGAAAATAAGTATTTATTCTCTATTAAATATAATTAATAATTATTTCATTAATTGTAGAGCATCACGTGAGAGTTATGGTGATAAAGTTATAGGTTACGGTCAACTTAATCGTAAGAATGGTATGTATTTGTGTTTTAAAAGGACGTGTGTGTCCAGAACACCGAGTTCGGAGTAAAGCTTACTCAGTTACTCTAACTATCAATGAAAAATTAAGAAAAAGAATAATAAAAGTAGAATTAATAAAATGTTATTATAACATTATAAAAAACCAAAATAACATATACTTTAAAAATTTAAATGTAGTCTGATACAGAACCTAGAATGTTATAAAAGTATAAAAATATCTATTAATTGAATACCAATTATTAGACAAACATACATATAGATTTACTATTTAATCGCTTTGAATTATCAATTAAAAATTTTTTAATGCTACGATTCTAAAGGTTATGATTTGGGGCCCAGGTGAAAAAATTAATTACTGAACTATACTTTTTCGATTTATACACTTAGATAAATAATAATGAATAACAATATTATTATGAATACTTACAACGAAATGATCTTCACAACAAAAAAAAATTGATTTTGTTTTTGAATAATCTCGGTGCACTGCTTGAAACCATTTCTTTCGACGTTTTTCGTCTTGTGGAACATTTAAAAACATTTTTTCAGGAGTTGTTTTTGTAGTATTTGTACATAATGGTACAAAACAAGAGCGATAACTTTTGAGTTTTAACATTTTTGATTATTTAACAATGCCAACAGAATTTACTAGATAAAAACTCAAAACACTGTACTAATTATTATAATATCTCTGTATGCTACAATGAGCAAAAACTAACATTGTGACGTCACACGCGCTCGGGTTTATTCGGGAGCTGTCGGCGGATCTTCGGTACTGAATTTAAAATTTAATTTTTATTTTGAAATAACTTTTTAATTATTGCAAAGAAAAAATAAATAAAAAAAGTTTTGTTGTAAAACTTATATATGATCTTTCCATTTATCACAAAAAAAAAATTTATTCAAAAACCCAATTCTGAATCACTCGCGAATCTGGCTTGGAAAGGGAAAAAAATATGTATTAAGTAAATAAATTATTATAGATAATAATTTATGTTACATATCTAAAACTAATGACTACACGCTTCGAATATTATGATAAATTCACCTTACTTAGAAAATTCATCTTTTTTAAAACAATCAGAATTATTATACATAAGATAAGATTAAAAGCATATATTTATCATTAAATAAGAAATATTGTTTCTTTTTCTTTCCTCATTTATTGTTCGTTTGGCAGCTACTTAATATTATTTTATACAGGGTGACTGGTGAATTACTATCGATATTTGAGGACGTGATATTTGACGATCATATATGACGAAATAAAAATTAATATAACATAAATATTAATAA